CAACTAGCAGTGAATAATAAAAATTCATTAATATGTGAAGACATTATTTTATATCATGTATGTAATGTATTCATAAAAAAACTAAGAGCCAGCTGTGGCTCTGTGGTAGGAGCGTGGATTAGCAACCACTGCTTTCGGGTTCGATACCCCGGCCAGATTGATATCACGCAGTAGTGATATTAGAATGCCACTGGGATTAAAGGTCTCAATTATTGTATCAAATGTAAAGAGCATTTCGAGAAAATGTTGTAATATTAGAAATATACCTAAGACAATCTGATTAAAAAGAGAATGGTTTGATATTATGTTGCTTTCTGGAGACACTAAGAACTAACAAATAAATAAGCGATTCGAATTTAGTAGAAAATATTTTACATAATTAATGAATATGACCCTTAAATTAATTAGGAACACATATTTAAATATATCAAACACTAGTGTAATGAAAATAAACATAATATAAGTTTTACTATTTTTTTATTTTGATGCCAAAACCATAGTGACGCTAATTATAAATATTTTAAGTGTATTCCTTTTCTTCGCTTATGTAACTTTCGATTTTTATAAACGTGTGTTCGAGCTCTATTCTTCCGAAACCGATGTTTTCGTAGCTTTTAATAAAAGTTTTTCGTTTTTTTTATTTGGTGGCCCATATACTTCCGCAGGTGATTCGCAAGGTGAATAATCCGGTGCTGTTAATTATATAATATTGTACATAAAGTCAAATAATATTAGTCAAAGCTTTTTGCATATATATGCATATTTAAAACTTATGATCTAAAAGTTGCAAAAATATTTAGATACCTGTTCTTTTTAGGATGAAAAATTTATTTGAAAAAGGCAGAAAATCTAAAAGGAAAAAACTACTAACTTTTCGTAGAGCAAGTTATATAAATAAAAAAAAATCTTAAAATTTTCTCAATTTGTATAAAATGTATATTGGTATAAATGAAGTATGTATTATATTACTCTACTATCTTAAATTAAGTATAAATTATTTTAAATTTATAACTAAATTTAGAATATAGAACCTATATTTCATTAATTCAAGTCGAGCACAATCTTTATATATATATATATATATATATATATATATATATATATAATGCATACTTATAATACGTAATTGATTAAAAAAATTTGATCAAAAGCACATCATCATACCACTATTTATTATCTATTCTATTTTGAAAGTAACGATCAAAAATTCACAAACCCTGTATCAAAATAATTTCCAATTTACATTTTTTTCATATTTATTTTATATAGTGTACTGATAAAACGTTGGAATTCATATGTCATTTAATAAATTACAATCAGAAGTTTGACTCACCACAAAATTAAACTCTTCGTTTTCAATGTATGTTTTCGTTTTTTTTCTGTAATATTACTTATGCGTTTTTTTTAATTTGTTAAATATTCAATTTTTTACACCATTGTTTAATAATTTTAAAAATTTATTTTTTTCATTTCATGTTTTTATTTTTTTACAAAATGACTGTTTCATTCTTTTTTTTGGAAATAGTGCATACTAGATATTGCTCATTTCTGTTTTTTTAATACTTTTGTTTATGATATTGAATCACATAGACATGTATTTATATGTCACTTCATTTACATTTAAGTGAAAACCTAGTGATGTGACATTTGACATTAAATTATTATTATTTTTTTTTTTATTTTTTTTTATTCTGCAATCTATAAAAATAATTATATTTAGCAGAGAATGCTGACAAGTGTTTACAATTGGTTGTTTACAAATTAGCACATACGCCCAGTGGTGTATCTACTATAGTTAATATATAAAAAAGAAAAACTAAAGACAAATATAGAGAAAAAAAATATAAATATAAAAATAAACTATAATAAATCTCGAGGTATTTTCCTTTTGAGCCTGGTCGGCTGGCCTTCCTGGTATAAGTTGCATGCTAGTTGGTTTGGATGTGCGTCAATTCTATTCTTATAATTACAGGCAAACATTGATATATGTTCTTGAATTGTAGGTATACCCGTGTCTTTGTGGAGAATCCATGTTGGCGTGTAGTGAGGAGCGTTTAATATTTGCCGCAGGAATTTGTTTTGTGCTCGTTGTATTATGTTTAAATTGCTCTTTTTAGCAGTACCCCAAAGTTGTAATCCGTAGGTCCACACGGGTTTGATCACATTAAATTATTATGAATAAAAATTTTAGATCGAAGAAATATGTAAAAATTAAGAAAAAATGTTTTTAAAATTTTAAATAGTTATAGTAGTTTTTACATTTTTTTTGATAAATTAAAATTTATTATTTTAAAAGTATTAACGATAGATACCATACAATCTATTGTAGGAAACAATCTGATTTATATTAGCAATATGAAAAATTAATCACTTTAGTTAATTAGTGCAAGTTATTATTTTTTATTTCCTCAAGAAGTTTATAATTCCGCCAGGAAATACGATATGCTAATTTTATTATTTTGGACGTTTCCTGTCACTCTGAATCGTTCGAAACCATAAATGAATAAAGTATATGTGAGTAAAATTGCGTGTGTGTATTTGAACCTATTTCTAACATTTCATCGACATTTTCTTAAAAACGGCTGAACCGATTTCAAAAATTTGGAAACCATTCGATATGTCGGTCCAAGCCGTTTCTTTATAATAAGAAAAATGCAAATTTTTTATCCACGTTATAAAAAATAAAAAAATGTTCGAAAGATATTGGTTAGAAATCAAGCTGATTAGTTTTTGACGAAGAGTTGCCGGACCTCTTCTTCGTAATTGTTTAAAAAAAAAACTCGACGATTTTGAAAAAAATTTTAGGGTGATAAAATTTCTGTTCATAAATGACATAGTATACTATAATATACTATAATATAGTCATACTATAATATCATATGCCTACAAAAAGTGGTTCAATTTTAAAAATTCGATTTGGAGTAAAAATTTGACCTTTGTCGCCACTTTGTTAAAACCTTTTAAATGAAATAATAAAACTTGATATGGACTTACGATTTGATTATTTTTGCGAAACAAGCAGCGAATCTATTTATTTATAATTCATAATTAATGCTAATAGCAGAAAAGTTCAATTATTTTTGTTCACAATTTAGACAAACTTCTAAAAATATCCATTTGAGAAACGTGCTGATCAGTTTTTGGTAATTTATTGATATATATTTTTTTAAATAAACTTTGTATAATTGTAGAGTTCGTGATTTTAATGAACATTCTTAAATATTATGGGCTTTTATTATGAAAATTAATTGAAATTTGGAATAATGGTCCGTGTAGAAATTTCAAACTTCTATAGTCACAATTCCTGTTGAATATGCCGACTAATAGAAAAAAACAGAGATAAGATATAATTGAAGTAAATAATCGTTAGTTAATTAATTAAATGGGTTTTTATGCAAGATATTTTAATAGTTACTACACCAATAACTGGTACAAATTATAAATGTATTTATAAAATCGATGAACACAGCAATTGAAGAAACATATTAATTCTAGTACTAATAGCATTTAAATCCAGGAAATAGTGTAGTAAATAATACCATTTGAAAGTTTTCTGATTTCTACGTCTGAAGCTTACTTATATTATATCGATACTTGAGAATTTAATATAGAATTGCTACAATATTACAAATTGGGTAGCTAGTGGATTACTGTAATAGATTTTATTAAATTAATATATATTAAAATCCATTGATTATATTTCTATGAGATAAAGATAAATAGTTGCTGTCATTATTAATCTATCCAATCAAGTTAAAATAATTTCGGAACTAATGTTTATTATTTTACAATTAATCAATTTCTAGAAAAAGTGTGGTGTTACAACTTACTCCGTGTTTGGGGCTACCAGAGTAACAAAAAAAACGACAATACCTCTGATATATTTTTTACTCATTTTTAAGAAAATTGACACATTATAATGTGTCCTAAAATATATTTTTTTATCATAAATCAATGTAAAATACTATTATCATAATATAAATAAAGATATAAGTAGTGTCTCCAGTAACACAGTTTACATGTGCTCATCTTTTACAAATATAATTCTATTCAATCTTCTTCACTTGAACCTGTATGTTACAACTAGCCCGAAAATTTTATTTCAACTTATCCCAGGTGTGATTTTTTTTACTTTAATCAAGAAATATATTATTTATACAAATTAGCAATCACAATTGTTACACATTATCAAAGATTGATCAACTTGAAAAAAATATATATATAAAAAATTTAAAGTTAGACGCTAATAATAATGCGAACCGAAATGACGGACCTGCATAGTTTTGTTTATTGCGACGGCCTACGGAACAGTAGCTATGACATATTTACATGTTCAATCGATACAAAAAGTATTTGAACGCTTTAAGATTTTTTTGAAAAACGCTTGTTACTAGTCCCCTGTAACAGATAGCCCCTAGTTCTCCTATATCTAACAATAATCAGAAAGTGAACTGTCTCTAAATAAAAAGTGAAAAGCCTCTAAAAACTCACAAATAAATCTAACTAGAAAACGATTTGAATTTAGTAAATAAAATATTACGTAATTAATAAATATTTTTATTTATTTATTTATTTATTTGAACAGCGAGCAGAACTTATGGGTCCTATAAGCTGTTGTGATGAATTTCTTACAAACTACGTTTGTTTTGTTATAGATGGCGACCCAAACAGTTGTCTCATCTCTACGTGATGAATTTTTATTATTACAAATATTGTAATAGTGATAAGTTTATATTGGTGCACCAATGCCGTATCAGGGCTGTTTTCACTTAGAAACATATTGCTATCTATATTTCCAAGTGAAAACCGTTGTCACTACTGCTTTATAACAGGGTCCTCGAATTTAATAAATGACACCGTAATTTATTTATGAAAACATATTTAAATATATCGAACACTACTGTAAATAAAATAAGCAAAATATAAGTTTTACTATTTTTTTTATTTTAGGAACCGATGTTAAATTACTAGTAATGGCAACATAAATATTTTAAGTGTGTATTTGTTCTCCTTCCTGATTGCTATAGACGTGCTCGATTTTTATTTTTCCAGAACCGATGTTTTTGGAGCTTTTAATGAACGTTTTTCGTTTTTTTTATTTGATGTCTTGAGAACTTAATATCGGTTGTCACAGCCCAAATACTTCAGCAGCCTGGATCGCAGCACGATTCGCAAGGTGAACAGGCGATGAAGCAGTTCGGCGCTGTTAATTGCATAATGTTGTCAAAGTCAAATAATATACTAATAATATAATTCATAAATATTTGTATCAATTTATTTTGCCCTATAATAAATATTTGTTCATTATAGTTGTTTTATAATGTTATAATTTTATAGGACGTTTATCATAATTTATATAGCTTTTTTGTTTATTATATCATTTCATAGCTAAGTTTTCATTTGCATTTTAACTGATTCTTTTGAACATAGACATGCCAAATCCTGAAATACAATTAGTCCAGTCAGCCGAAAACTCAAGGCGATTTAAGAGAAAATTGCCAAGTGATCTTCCGCAGCCCACAATATTACTTTTTCTGTTATGCTCAGAAAAATGTTTTACACTTATTTATTATTGTTATTATTATGATTATTGTTATTATTTAATTGTCATATTAAAATTGAAAAAAATATCATGTAGCTTGGAGAGAATAAGAGCTTTTAAGTGCAGTAGTACTTTAGTAAAATTATATTTAAATTATATTATATATAAATTTTATTGATTTTGTTTATTTAATCTTTGTAACCGTAACCGTAAACAGCATTTCTAGGACCAGAGTAAAAAATAATATAATTGTCCCAAGGTTTTAAGAATTAAGACTTTGTTGAACTATGAATTTAAAATTTAAAAGTTTGGCCAACTTTGAAAAGTCTTGCTTTAAAAAAATGTACTAATAGTATAGGAGGCAGCAACGTTTTCAAAACAAGCATTTTAACCAGGCTGTTTTTTTGATATGTGGTCCTTGGTGCTCTCTCGGTTAGGGTACGGGCGGTCTGGCAGCTGGGAGTGGTTGCGTTAATTAGTGTACAGTGCGATATTGAAATTTTGAAACCATTTTAGCCAGTCCAATTTTCATTAATTCGACTTCGAATAGGTTCTAGACTCACATTTTTTGTTGCCATACATTTTGGGCGCTGCTAAATATGTGCCAGACGCCAATTTATTTATTATTTTTTTTTTAAATTCAAACCATTTTAGTCTGTCTGAAATTTTAGTATTATATTCGTTAAGGGTTAAAACATATAAAATAAATTTGCCAGACGTTTCTGCGGTTGTTAAACACATCTGGCAATCAAAAATGTCTGGCAATATGATACTAGTTTATAGCATTTTAATCAGTCCAATTTTCATTTTTTGACTTTGAATAGGTTATCCAGACTCACGTTTTTGTTGCCCGACATTTTGGGCGCTGCCAAATATGTGCCAGACACCAATTTATTCATTTTTTTTTTTTTAAATTCAAATCATTTCAGTCCGTCTGTAATTTTAATATCATGTTCATTAAGAGTCAAGAGACGTAAAATTAATTTGCCAGACGTTTCTGTGGTTGTTAAGCATGTCTGGCAACGAAAAAAGTTTGCCAATATGATACCACATATCAAAAAACCAGCCTGGTTAAAATGCTTCCTCGAAACGTTGGAAACTTTCATCAAAAGTTAGTGCATTTAATAAGGATTGTGAATTTAAAATTTTAAGAATTTAAATTCATAGCTATAGTCATTAACATAGTTAATGTTTTTGGTTGTGGCCATAAAAATGTGATTCACCGTTACGGTTCCCTAAATAAACAAATTTAGTAAAAAATATCTGAAAAATTGTCATAATTTCACCAAAGCTCTTGGTTTCATTTAAAAGCTCAAAATTTCCAAACAACATGAGATATTTTTTTCTAATTTTTTCAGGACTATTACGGTCAATACTATTCTCTGAAAGTTTTAGCTCTTAATATTAACGTTTATATAGTGCGCAATTCAATCAAAATTTGTATGAAAAAAAATTCGAAAATTTTAAAAATGTTTTTTAGGTATAAACTAGCGATATATGAATTAAAAGTGACAATTCGTGTAATCTTTTACTGAAATTTCGACGCTCTACAAAACAGATTTTTTATAATTTTATTTTGTACAGCGTCGAATTTTGAATGAAACTCATTTATTTGTTCGTAAGTTATATCTAAAAACATTTTTAAAATTTTTGAAAATTTTCCCATGCTATTTCCATACAAAACTTTTTGGATGACGAATTTTTAATTCAATTCCAGTAAAATGACCTTAACGGTAATATCGTTAACCACGGCCAGTTCATTCATTCAAAATAAACAATATACTCACGGCCACAAGGCGGGGGTGGGCATGGCACCGGGCAGTACTGCGGGCAATTCGGTGGGCATGGCGGAGGACAAGGTGGGCATGGTGGGCAAGGTGGCGGGCATGATGGTGGAGGTGGACACGGCGGCGGGCAGGGAACGCACGTGTACACAGGGCAGACAGGATTTCGTGGTCGGCTCTTGTATTTGCACGCGTAGTGGCGAGCGTCTGCATACTGACTTGGGCAGCAGATCGGCTCCGGCTTTACAAGGCACGGAGGACTGCCCTGACACTCTGCCCTTCGGCAATCATCCTTAATGTTAAACATTAGTAGGATTAGAATTCGTGTATAGACGACAATAGTTTTAAAAATTGTGTTTATCATTATTTTTTATAGCATACATGATTGCATATTCTAAATATAGAAATAATATTTAGAAGAGCAAATATTATTAGTTAACTGTATTTAAATAAAAAACGATTTGCTTTCTTCAGAAAGTTCTATGAAATACATATTGATAATTGTATAAGTGATTTATTATATAGGGGACACTGGATACGGTTGTGCCAGGGTACGGTAGTGACAGTCGTTATAACAGCAAATGGAAAAAAAATGTAGTACGTTTGTCCAAACAAGTTCCCATTCTTGCTTTCAGTCAGCGCTCTACATTAACATGATCTGCAGATCGAACTGTTTTTGAAGAGGCAAAAACAGTTTCTTTGATCGATTTCTTTTAATAATAACTATTTCTTGTGTACCGATAGATCACTTTGTTTGTTATTACGCTATAGGTTAAACATTAGTAGTTAACATTAGTAGTTTTTACCAGATATTGGTTTTGGGTAGATAATTTAGCTCTGTCATAACGATTTGTTTTTAAAAGTGTGCGTTGGGTACGTTTGTGACAATATTTATGGGTACGGTTGTGTTGTAACCGGTATTTCTTGTCCTTTTTGGGGGAAGGTTAAACAGGTAAAAAAATGTTTAACTTAACTAAGATAAAATGCAAAAGAAAAAAGAAAAGCAAAATTCGATACAAAAATCAAAAGGTTTCGCAGATATTTTTTGTTTAAAAAATATATTTTGTTATATTATATTCATAAGCTTTGTTTAAATGATTATGTTGTGTTGTTACAATAAAGTCGTTTCTGACTAACTAAGTTATTTTGATGTTTTGTTTCTTAACCTATTTTTAATCCCGTCCACGCCCCTAGCGATAGTTGTGACAGTCGCTCTTTTCTTGTATGATTTAATTTTATGACTAATTCATTGTATTTAAAGACAGTATTTCAGTATTTCCATGTAGACAAATATCCAAATTACCATTTATTTTATTTTTCCAGCTAACTGGTAAATTAACAAAATTATTGCTGTTAAAAAAGTCGCACAACCGTATCCGATAAACTACATAGAATAAGCGGTTATTATAACTTTTTTAATATATGACCAAAGATAATAAATTACCTGTATTCCATTTCGTTTGGGACAATCGCAGCCAACGTAAAGAATACCAGCACGTAACTCGCGGCTTTTGCAACGCTTTACCTTAAATGAATTATGTAGATAAAATACTGTCGAATTAATAATAAAAAACGATGACAAGTTCTCGAATTTTAAAGTAAAATATTATTTACTTTCAAAATATATAATATAAATTCTCGTTATATTAGTATGTAAGATTTCAAATTATCCCTTACATCATAACTTAGAATCAATTGCTAATTTTATATTTCAAATGATCTGTATCTGTATCTCAAGATATCTTGTACTAATAGAAGTTTAACTTGATAATATTGAGAACATGCTTCAAATACGGTTTACAAATTTAGTACAAACACTTGATTAATTAGCAATAATCGTAAAGAAAAATATAATAAGTAAAAAATAAAAAATATATTGTGGTTATTAGTGATGCTCACAGTATTGCAGCCATTGGAAGAGTTGCTGGTATTGCTGTTACCGTTGCCTCCGTCATTAGCCGGAAAGCAGATTATTTTACAAGTTGCGGCTGGACAGCAAGACATTATTCCTTGCTATTTATTAGAAAGTTAATTATCAAATGATAACAACTATATAATTAAGGCGATAGTTTTTCGCCAAGAAACAAATATTTTAATTACATTTCTTTTTATCAACGCAACGTTACATATTTGTTATTAGGTTCTAAATTCTAAAGTAAGCTTTGATATAGACATAGCAGAACAGGATTTATCCATAAATGCTCCTTAATTGATTTTAATTGGATAGAAAAGTAATTTAGCTATCACAGTATTGAAATTTATGTAACAAAACCTACTTCGAAAGTGGCCGCAAGATTTAATAAATTAACAATCAATATATTTATGTAAGGAAATTCCCCACTGGGGGAATTTCTAAAAGTTCTGTGCCCGTCAGGAAATAACCCCATTGAACCCAATGTTCAGATTGGTTATAAGAAATAAATAAAAAAAAATCTACTTCGTCAATATTGTGCGGGGAATCAAGTAATATGAGAACAAACAAATATTTTGTTCTAGTTTTCGAAATTCGTATTGGATAACTTTAAAGTTACCAATAATTCCTTATCAAATAAATTATCAAACTTTAACTAGTTAATCAAAACTCTTAATAACAAATTTAACTACTTTTACATACATATTTTTATAAATACAGAAAAAAACTTCTTTGCTTATAAAAAAAAATGATTTATATATATAGGTGTTTCATGGCGTAACGGTCAAACACACGGTTTATTAACGACTTAGAAAATATTTTGAATTTCATATGCAATTTAAAAACTTACAATCTGAAAATAAATGGTTATTTATAAAAAAAGTTCTGCACAAATATTCTGATGCCCTTTTTTCAGAATGTTTATTTGCAAAAAGCATATACAGTAACTAACATTTTGTACAGAAGTTTTAAAAATCAATGAAAAAGAAAAAAATGATAACATATTAAAATCTTCTCAACCTGTATGAAATGTATATTGATATATAAAAATATGTTTAAGTATGCATAGAATGTATGTATTTAATTTTGTATAGTGAATGTAGAAATTCGAAACTCATTTTTATTTATTTTTTGAAAAATATTAATTTTTCGGATATATATATATATATATATATATATATTTATTATACCATGCGTGTATACAATACACACAATTAGTGTTCATAAGAAAAAATCGATTAAAGGCATATATTCATACTACTATTTTGACAGTAACCGTAATAAATTCGCAAACCCTGTTTTAAAATAATCTCCCATTTATAATTCATTCATATTTATTTTATATAAGCTTCTAATAAAACGTTGGAATTCGCATGTCATTTAATAAATTACAATCAGAAGTTTGACTCACCTCAAAATTAAATTCTTCGTTTTCCAATGTATGTTTTCGTTTTTTTTGTGAATATTAGTTATGCGTTTTTTTTAATTTGTTAAGTATTCAATTTTTTACACCATTGTTTAATAATTTTAAAAATTTATTTTTTTCATTTCAAATTTTTATTTTTTTAGAAAATTACCGTTTCATTCTTTTTTTTTTGTTGGAAATTGTGTATACTAGATATTGCTCATATCTGTTCCATTTTGTTACTTTTGTTTATGATATTGAATCGCATAGGCTTGTATTTATATGTCACATCACTTACATTTAAGTAAAAATCTAGTGATGTTGAGATTTGACATTAAATTATTGTGAATTAAAATTTGAGATCGGAGAAATATGCAAAAGTTAAGAAAAAATGTTCTAAAATTTTTAATAGAGTAGAGCGGGGCTTAAATGTCCGCCGGTGAAACAGTTCACCACCGATATCTCAAAAACAAGTAAAGTTAAGGATGTTTTGATAACAATACGTGAAAGATTTTCACCACATTATTATCGGGTGATAAACAGATATGTTTACAAATCTATAACAAATTATCCGAGGTTTTATTTTCATTTTCTTTGTCGTTACTACTTGCCTCGGTAAACGTTACAACTAGGCCCAAACACTGGGTAAGTTGTAACCTCGCACTTTTTTTTAGAAAATGATTAATTATGATATAATTAACTACAGTTGTAAAATTATTTTTACTTGATTCGGTGGAGGAATAGTAACAGCAACTATTCATCATTATTTCGTACAAATATTATCAGTGGATTTCAAGAAAAATTAATTTAAAAAAACTGTTACAATCAGCCCTTAGCTCCCATACCTGCAAAGAACTTGTACAAATTATAATTTAGTGATGTGCCAAGTCGAATCGAGTGATTCGAATCATTCGAATCAAGCCTTTAACGACTTGATTCGAATCAGATTTTACTTGATTCGAATCAACTCGTATCAAGCCGCGAAATATTTACTGTGATAAAATATGTATGAACACAAATTTTCATAAATATGAAAAAAATATTTTAATTTAATTTAATATTATAATGATATAAAAAATAATAATAAATAACATAAATGACATAAATATAAAAAATAATCATGAATTAAATCATGCGAGCCAACCGACTGTAATACGCTTAAATGTACGCCGACTCCAATCGTTTTTGTATGACTTTAACTGCATTCATTAACTAACAATATCATCCGACTTTATATGACTCAAACCAATTTATTTCGACTTCAAGTCTATATAACTTCATCCGAGTTCCTATGATTCAAACCGACTTATTTCGACTTCAAGTCTATATGAATTAATCCGAGTTCCTATGATTCAAACCGACTTATTTCGACTTCAAGTCGGTATGAATTTATCCGAGTTCCTATGATTCAAACCGACTTATTTCGACTTCAAGTCGGTATGAATTTATCCGAGTTCCTATGACTCAAACCGACTTATTTCGACTTCAAGTCGCTATGAATTCATACGAGTTTATATGACTCAAACCGAATCATCCCGAGTTCAAGCGGCTTGAACGATATGAGTTCGAAACATGTGTCTGTGTCTTAGCGTATCGACTTATCGACTTGCGTGTTTGTTTATTTTTGACTAACCGCTGAGAACCAATTTGTTCCTGAAATATAAAAAACTCATTTAGATAATAAATACGCGATTTAGATTTTAATTAATATCGAAATAAACTACACAACGAGTTTTATACACATACAAAATTATCATATTTTATTACTTGCATAATGGCAAATTCACACAAATCAAATAATATCAATCTTTACAGTAGTGAATTTTAAGTCATTCGTAAGACGTTAGATTCAGCTCCCTGTTTAGATTAGATCTAAACAATCAATAATATACACATGCATTCGTTCAACGTAAGATTAAGAATATTGTTTTATATGCTTTAGTGATAGAGAAGTGTTTGGTTATATTTTATTGTAAATTCACTTGAAATATTAGTTATATTTGTAGCTAGTTTATTATTATATATAATATAAATGTATTCATCTCTGCACTTTTTGAAATTAATTGCTTACTAAATTAATTATTTCACTTATAAAATTATTAAAATGATATTATTTCTTCTCTTAAATTTTAATTGCTCATATATGAACTTGATTCGAATTGATTCGAATCATGATTCGAATCAGGTTTTTTTCTGATTCGAATCACTCGAATCAAGAAATTTTCGAGTCGGAACATCACTAAATTATATATTTATAAAATCTTTGATCACACAGCAATTGAATAAACATTGATTCTAGTACACATGGCATTTAATTCGATGTAATAGCTGTAGATGTAATAGCTGTTAGATATTTAGATAAAACTTTCAACTTTTTTTCAAATATAAAGTTATCGCTTTCAACTACGCTTGTATGCCCTAAATTTGTAGCTTATTCAGTGGCGGATTAAGCTTTCTGCCACGCTAGGCCTTATCTGACCAAGCGCCCTTTTTAATAGAGAAAAATTTACTTTTTTATTCAAACAATTTATTTTAAATTACTTAGATATAATTTTTAACTTTGCATAGAAACTGTTCAAGATCCTTAAAATGATTTGTGACATTTTATCAAGTTTTGACATACTGAAAATTTTGTCGCCCTTTTAAATTGTGTCGCCCTAGGCCCGGGCCACACGGGCTATGGGGTAATCCAGCACTACGCTTATTATTTCAAATTTTAATGAATATACAATGCTTGACTCATCACATTACAAAAGCAACTTTTGACACAAATTTTGGTTACAATATTTTCTCAAAATTTGATATTTTTTTAACATTAGACTATTAGTCGTAGGTCCGTAACAAAAAGCTTCATAAAAATCGGCAAACAATTTTTTTTCAACAGTTAATTTTAAGAAAACGGCGCGGTAGATTTTTACCTAAAACTACTCACGATCAGTATCGTTCCCAACCAGTATCTTTCGAGCAGTTTTTGATTTTTAAAGTCGATTCAAAATTGAGAGCTAAAAACGTGGACATTTTTATAGATTTTTTTTCATTTTTCTGCTATTTACAAAGAAACGGCTCAGCAAATCGTCGCACAAAACTGTGAAAACATAATCCACATCGAAATACGTCGATTGGCTTTTAAATTTTTGAAATCGGTTCAAGCGTTTTTAAGCAAACGTCGTTGAAAGTTATAATTTTGACAAACGCCATAAAAACGATACTAATTTTTGCAAACTTTGAAGAATTTTTAAAGTTAAACGAGTTGCGTAAGGCCGTAATATTTTAGTATGATCTATAAGACTATGGCATATACCGTCAAAAAAAATCATAAGAATCGTCGAAAATTTTTTTTAACACTTCATTACAAGAAAACGGCCTGGCTGATCTTTACCAAAAACTAATCAGCATGATACCCAACCAATATCTTTCGAACGGTTTTTGAATTTTCAAAATCGATTTAGAATTGCGGGCTAAAACGTAGACAATTTTTTTTTCACTTTTGTGCTATTCACAAAGAAACGGCTTGGTTAATCGTTGCGCAAAAGTGATAAACGCTAGTCCTCATCAAGATACATCGAGAGGCTTTTATATTTTTGAAATCGGTCCAGACGTTTTAGAGAAAACGTCGATTCACGGCAAAAAATCTGTTCACATGCACAAACACATTCACATGCTTTTTATAAATTTGGTCTCATTCGATTCAGAACGGCTTGAAACGTCGAGAAAACATAAAAGTAGCAAATCGGATTTTTTGATGAAAACAAACTTCTCCTACGGGAAGTTAATAATGTCATTTGAAAGTTCGCTGAATAAGCCCGCCGGCAGCGCTGATATTATATCGATAAACGAAAATTCGATATAGAAATGAGTTTTCGGCGAATCGAATCGAATCGAATAGAGTCAACCCGGCGCATGCGTTGCCTTTCGTTACGAGTAGAAACGGCGTTCGTAACCTTATATACAGGAACGAACATGTGTTTCCGAAGAGGGTGTGACGTCAAACGTAAACCGTGTAGGACGACCTGACAGCGAAAAAGATTCTGACAGTACCGACTTCAATTCCGTCGCGTAAAACTAGCATGGAACGCTAAATTTCACCCGCGATTAAATTCGATAAAACAAATGTTCGATATTAACAATTTATGAAAATTCCAAGGTTCGAAACCGCGTGTGGATGAGTGCAAATAAACATTTACTTCAAAATGGCAGAAGCCGAAACGACGGTGCTGGAAATCAAGACCAAATCGATAGAGCAGACGCTGGTGCCTCTAGTAAAGCAGGTCATTTGATCATTTATTTTTTACTTTAGTTTCGTTTTGTGCCTAAGGTTATATTTAGACATAAACACATTGTTGGCTCGGTATAATTCAGTCGCACGCATGCGCCCTAATCAAACTGTTGCTCACGTCAATTTAGATGACAATGTGCAATAATAACGTTACCTGGTTCAGAAACGAAATCTAATTTAGCTTATAAACGTATATAACGATTGATTTCTTTAAATAGACAAGGAACTCAAGTACACGCGACGTCTATTTTTGTCAAATTGATGATATACACATGTGATGCGAAAGCGATTAAACACACACGCGTTAATATATATACATACACACATTATATACATATATACATATATATATATATATATATATATATATATATATATATATGAGGTAGAGCTGGTCAACATATCTGAATTTGATATACTAATTTCAATTAAATGTTTATATTAAGCCTACGTGGATAACTTTTACCCACAAATTGCCGACTGGCGTGGTAATGCGAAATTTCTAATCTTTCTTTTCTAAAGCTCTTTCTCCTCACGGGTCACTTCTACCAAAAGCCGTTCGCTACCCGTAGCCGAAGAAGCAGTAATGACTCCGTTTGGTTGTATCCTCCATTTTTATACGATTTCCTTATTGAATAGGAGAATATGGTAGGGATATCCCTACTCGTATGAGAAGAATTCTAAATCAACAATATTTGAAAGTAGAAGAAAAAAGATGTGTAACCAGCCATCACCTTGATTCTTACGACGTCGCTATCGGGAGATATAACGACAATGTTTGAAAATCTATAAAAAATATTTTTATCGTTGTTAGTTTTTTTGGTCGTGACCACTATTGTTTAGTTTACGAGACTTTAATACAATTACTGAGTCTACATTATTTATGTTTTATAAGACGTTGTGTTATTAACTTCCTGTAGGGTAAATTATAGCAATCGCCCAAAAATCAAAAATGAAAATTTTCGCATTTATTTATATTTTGTAGGTTTCTGAATATTTTGGCATACCTTAGAAAAAATGGATGTGTGTGTATGTATGTATGTAGTATATATGTATGTAGTATGTATGTATGTATTTTTTTAAATTACAATATCTGTTACAACTGCTGAATAATATAACATCTAGTAACATAAGTGAATAATAACATAAATATAAATAAAATAGAGTACAAAATAAAGGATAGTATTTTCATTAAAATGATATCCATATTATGATGATTTAATATAAAATAAAAGCAAATAATGATAAAAATAAAATTAATAGAATTTGTGAATAATAAAAATAGAAAAGCAATAAAGAAGGGTAAAAACAATAAGTGACAAATGATAATAAATATAACTAATTAACAATATTAGAAATAATAAGATAAGTGTGTATGTATGGATACAACTTCTCGTCGACGTTTTCGATGGCACCGCTGAACCGATTCGAATTATTCAAGAAGCATTCGATTTCTATTGATAAAGTTTGACGTCATGAAGAATTGTTTAAGTTTTTGCAAAGACAGAACCAGCGGTTTCGGAGATCCAGAAAAATAAATAAAAAAAATGCATTTGGCGGTCGAAAATCACATATTTTGTAAATTAAATCAACCGGACTGAATGAGTATTAAAAACTTTCAAAAAGTCTCAAAAAAAAAATAAAAACATTTTGGTTTTCGAGTTTTTAAAAAATACGAGTATCAATATCGTATAAGTATTCCCAGAAAAACATTTTTTTTCAATATGCAAAATTCTCAAAAAAGAAAAAAAATATTTTCTGAGCTTTTAAAAATTCGAATTCCTTAAGGCACGATGCCATGCACTACTAATTTTTAAGTTATATTCAACAGTTTTTTATATAACCTCTATAAAAGCTCACATTTGGGTAGGGTAACAATGTAACAAGGACCATCTGAGCCAAAGGTATAAACAATAAAAATAGTTAATAAAAACGCTAATTAAGTTAGAACAAGCTATGATTTCAATGGAATTCAGGATCTAGTAATAGATAATTCACTTTAACACAAGATATAAAATGTGTACTGTACTATGATAATATAATGTTCATTCCAATACAAATACATAAGTATTTAATAATACAAAATATGTGAATAATCCAACCAGTAATTAAAGATATAATAAATTTACTTTTTAAAGATGCTACGAAAGGTTAACAAGTGCATATTGAAAATATATGCACATATTGTGAAAGTGTTTCCTTTGACATTGCATTTATTTATAGTGTAAAGAACTGTGAAATATTATCTAAAAATCAACTATTTACCTCGAACAAGGTTGAAATGTCATTGCGTTTATTTTATGACTTTATCGTAATATCACTGCATAAATTACCATTCTGAATTACCTATTAATTTGAGGTGTCGAATTGTTGACATGCTCGCTTGGCATAGTTTTGAGTTTTTTATTTTTATAATTATATTTATGGGGATGTAGGATTTCGTATTTGAATGCATATCAAATTGTTAAATTCCTTTAGTAGTAAGTTTGATCTTGTGTGAAAATGGAAATCAAATACTGCCCAATTAAAGATCAATAAATATGAATAAAGTGGTAGATTCCATGAAAAGTAATGCATTATAATATATAGTATACATTTTAGGTTTATCATTAAGATCATCATACACACACACACACATATATATATATATATATATATATTAATCTACATATTTATATAATAACTTACCAAAAGCTAGCGCCACTTTTCACATTCTGTCGGAGAATTTTTATAATCATTTTCAATTATCAGATTACCGAACTACTACTCTTGTCTAATATCTACTGGTACATCATAGATTTTCGGCATCTGAAAAAACAAAGAAGATATTTTCAGTGAGAACAATTGAAATATTTGGATGGTCAGAAATATTCGAATTCTGTATTTGATTAATCGGTTCCAAAAATAAGCAGGTCAGAAAAAACGACCAAAAACTGAATCCGGGCCCGGATAAAGTTGAAACGTGATATTACTATGGTAATTATCTAATTTATCCACAACATGAGAAAATGTATATTGAATTTCTTGAATACATATATTTATGGAAAAGATATACATAATAATCTTTATTTAAGAATACTTCAATATTTGTGCTATGGTAATGTCTGTGACATACTTTATTGTCAGATTTTGTATATAAATGCTTGCAAATTTAAGTTTAAAAGTCACATTATGATAAAATGACAAATATTACCAATTAGTATCAAAACTGAACTAGAATTAGATACAATCGAAATTTCTGAGAAATATGTAGAGTAATATTCTGTAGAAATATGAGGAGTATTTCACTTTGTACATTTTTTTTTCAAGAAATGGTTTGGCTGGCACTTGTGTATGGCAGTCGGAAAATTTGTTTATGTAATTTTTCCCTAATTTTCGTAAAATTTGAAAAAAAAAGTTTAATTTATACATTTCAAAAATTCAGGACAATCTGGGACAAAAACCTTGAATCAAGGACAAACATTGCTTCTATGAAAATCTAATATGATAAAATAGGTTTCTGACTAAACTAACATATAATAAAAATTATAAATGAATGGATTATATAAAAAATATCAAAATAATAGAGCTCATAATAAAAAAAGTTAAAAAAAACCTATAAGTTTATTACGAATTTATTCGCCTGCATGACTAATATGATCAACATTTCAAATATCATTTAAAGCATTTTTTAAAGGATATGTTTTTATTAACTTAAAAAATAACTGGAAATTATTAGATTACTTGTTTTAGTGTCGAAAGAACTCTTGTTCAACATTCTTTTGAAAATCCCATTATTTTACATTTGCTAAGTAGCGTGTTCATTGAAAAAAATATAATAATTGAAAATAAAACACAAAATAAACTTTCAAAATTACTTCTATAATCAATTGCATTGCGTGTCACTAAATTTTCTTCTGAAATGTTATAATGGTTTTTAAGTAATTCGAGGACGCTGATTTCAAAAAAAGTAACAGAACCGCTCTAGTTTTCGAGATATACCAATATGCTAGTATCACCTCAAATTACAATGAAACATAACATATTTTATTTTGTGTCTCAAAAGTCTTTTTATATAATTTTCGAGGGTGATTAAGATCTAACTAATTTTGTCATAAGCTCCAACATTTTAGGACGTCCCACCTCCTTGATATGGCTCCGCCAAAGTCCTGATGTTTCGGTGGATTCTCTCGCCTGACTTCCTTGTTTTATTTTCGAGTTTAATACAAGAATTTATGAACCGTGAATTTTCTATAAGTTGCCCAATTTGGAGATTATCAAATGTATCTCTTTTTAACTTTTTCTGTTTTTTTCTTTTAACTTTAGTGTCTCAATCCATTACATGATATACAGAAGATTTTCATTACCTTAAGACCCATTTTCTTCTATTGCCTGAATTTATTCCCTTGAAATTTACCACACAGAAAAAAAACATTCGAAACAGGCGGTATTAAATTTTTTTTCTTTTAAACACTAATGTAAATACTCTACGCAATTTTGGCACATTATATAAAGAACCCATGTTTTATCATGATTGCGCAATTCAATTTTAAAGTGGTTGAAATACGCCGTCTTGACGCAGTTTGATATAGGCTATCGGAATTTGTCGAAAACATATTCACCACAGATGTTTAAAAAACTATATGGATCATGCACATAAGTTCTTAGAGTCGGAGCTATACCAAAAACTGCAGATAAAACTTTTGGTACTTCTTTGAAAGAAAATTGAAAAAAACAGAGGTATGTCAACTGATTTCTAGTGCAGTCATTAAGGACTTTTTGACCAAATAGAAAAATGAATAAAAAATTCGCAAATGTTCACAAACAATTAACTGAGGTTAATATTAAAAATAACAGTATAATCATACGCTTACTCAATCATAATTTTTGGTACGCCTTAAATAAGAGAAAAATAAGCAACTAACGTTAGTTTCTTTAAGAATTCCAGAGCTAAAAGGGCAAATAAAGGGGCAGTACAACTCTTCTGAAAATAACCGATAAGTAACTTATTTCATAAATGAGTTATAATTATTTTCGTTTTAAATGTCTCAGTTACACATTGTATTTTCATTTTCTATAGCCATATTTCACTCGAGTTTGGCGCCTTATCTTACAATTAGAACAATGCATGCTATTTAATTTTAGAATAATGCGCATCATATAATATACAAACTAGTGGCGTATGGCATCGTGCTTTAAGGCAAATTGCTATAACTTCGCGTACCTTAACGAAATGTTCGAGAAATGTTAAATGTTTTCGTATAGATTATTATAAATAAATACTGTAACATTGCCTTGCATTTATAATAATTATCAAAACTGAATTACAAAGTTAAAATTATTTGTTTAAAGTATATAAGTGAGCTTTAGAACTTTAGCAAGAATTAAGATTAAAATTTGAATTATTTTCTATTTATATATAAAAAAATTATATCTATAAAAACAAAATATTTTTTTTCTAAAAGCAATTGTTTCGTCAACACAAGCAGAAAGTTTTTTGAATCATTCAAATGCTTAGTTCTCTCAAAAACTGCCATTTTTTGTACATTTAGCTCCGTATTTTCGAAACGACTGGACCTGCCTTTGCCAAAAACTAATCACCACTTCTCCCCATCATTACGAATTGAATATTTATTACTTTTTTATTTCTGCACTCTTTGCTCTGTATCTCCGTAAAGGCTGCACCTGCCTTTGCCACCAAACTAATCAGCACATTCTCCTATCAATAGGAATCGAATGTTTTTTGAACTATTCAAATCAGTTGATCAGTTGGACATACAAAACACACACATACATTTTTTCTGATGTATGCCAAAATATTCAGAAACCTCTGAAACGTGAAGATATGCAAAATATTTAATTTTCGATTTTCGGCCGGTTTCCATAACTTACCCCACAGGAAGTAAAATAACGGTTTAACGATTTTCATTCTGCAGTTATTATCAAACAGTGAAAATAATATCGAAGTTAATAATATTAATATAATAAAACATTACTGACGATTGAAATTAATGCAATAATGACGATTAAAATCTTCGCAAATTGTTATTTTTAATAAATATTTGCAATGAAAATATGTTCATCTTAATTTTAAAAAAATCATGTATTTATTACCAGAGTAAATTTATTATCAATATATCAATTATTTTGATTTCATAAACATTATAATTTTTAGAATAATTAATTGATAAGTGTTGTATGTATAACAAAAATATAGAAAACGTTCTGAAAATTAATTTTTACATACGTCTGTTTTCTTCAACTCATAATGAAAATTTGTACTCATTGTTAAATTATTTATAAAATCTGATAATTTAATGCGCATATGTCCAAAGAAAATTCAAAGACCTTAAAACGAAAAGATAAGCAACAATTTTCAGTTTTAAATTTTTTTCGAATACTATAAATTATCCTACGTGTGCCTCAAAAAATATCTGTGCACTTTTGATATCAAATTACTAAAAAAGTTTAGAAAGTCGGGTTTTCAAATCTCTCTTTTATGCCGTGTATACATTATTCTAATTACAGAAAAGAAATACTTGTTATATAAGGCCTAGCACTAGCTCTTCCATTATCGCGTTTATATTGATGTGACATATAAGCTATCTAATTTCAGATCTATTAATTAAGAAGAGTCCTATATACGAATATATATTCTAGACTTCCACGTGATATCTATAGAAGTCTTGTTAAGAATCCGGCCATGAAAATATTGATTTTTAATTTAAGCAGCATTTGATTTAAGTAATATCTAACCTTATACAACATGTGATTATTAAATGACTATCTTCGTAAATTCACAAATTATAAGTGGTATATATATATATATATATATATATATATATATATACAGCGGATCTTGTAGGTACGCGGGTAAAAAGGTCCTTCACCAATACCTCAAAAGCAAGTAAAGTTTCAAAATTTTCAACAATATTTTAAAGTAGAGGGAAAATGATGTATAACCACTTTGATTCTTACGACGTTGCTATCGGAAGATAAACGGTTTAACATTGTTTGAAAATCCATAACAAAGTATTTTCTTTAGTAATTAGTTTTTTTTTAGTTGTGAACACTGTTATTTAGTTTATGAGGCTTTAATTTAATTTTCAAGTACACGTTATTTAATTGTTTTATAAAATGTATTGTTAATTTTAATTGGATTCAACAGTTTTTTTTATATAACTTTAACAAAAACTTACGCCTGGGTGCAATAAAAAAAATAACGGAACATTTACCCTGGCAAAGGTGTAAAAAATAATAAATAGTAAGTTAAGTTAAAAAAAAACAATTTTACGAGAAATAATTTAAATGAACAGTTATTCCAACTTTGCTGATGAATGTTTTTGACGAAATATCAAATCAAGGTTATTTACAGTATCAACCTCTGTAAATAATGCAATTATGAAATTTTTATTTTGCATTGGTTGAATAATGTAGCTATTATTTTTCATGATACGCTATCATAATACCTAAGCCCCCGACGAAATTAAGTTAAGTTCAAATATCAAGTGTTTGTATGTTACAAAAATTTTGAGAATAAAATAATAACATCTCCAGTATCTAAATAAAAATATTTTCACTAATACGGTAAGTGATGATTAGGGCACCTCAAGGATTTTTACGTAACCCAATTGAATAATTATTGCGATCTTAAACGTACTCAAATATAGCCATGTTTTACAAATATTCTGATAGTATTAAATCGTTTTTGGGAGTTTCATTACGAACGGAATTACGTTTCATTCGTAGCAACTAATCCCCACAAGTAATTATAGTTATCATAAGGGGCGGTTAGGGAATGTCTAGTTGGTCTCTCAGGTTTGCCGTAGGTATGTACTACACTATATCAACTACAATAAAGAGTTCTATGCAATTACACAGATTTCATCTATTATTAAAAGATTCATATATATATATATATATATATATATATTTATATATGTATTAGGGTGGTCCTTAATATGGTCATTTTCGAATTTCCTTGTTCCCAAGGGCTCAAATGGTTCCAAATTGATAAAAAACAATTCTCTGAAAGTTTTAGCTCTTAATATTAACTTTTAGATAGTGCGCAATTCAATCAAACTTTGTATGGAAATAGCATGGAAAATTTTTTGAAAATTAAAAAAAAAATTTCAGATATAACTTAGTGACAAATGAATTAAAAGTGAAAATTCGTGTCATTTTTTTTATTAAAAATTCGACGTTCTGCAAAATTTTTGAAAATTTTTCATGCTATTTCCATACAAAACTTTGATTGAATTGAGCTCTATCTAAAAGACAATATCAAGAGCTAAAACTTTCAAAAACATAGTTTTTTATCAATTTGGAACCATTTCAACCCTTGGGAGCAAGAAAATTCGAAAATGTCCATATTAAGAACCACCCAACCAAAGTAATAGTTCACACTCCAACCAAAGAATCTTGGTTCTTCTTCCTAAGCAAATACTTATTTTATGAATTATATCTATAAATTTTTGTAGTAATTGTTTTATTTATGATCAAAATAAGCAAATACAATGTTATTCTCAAAATTTTGATTCACTTATCGCTAAGTTATAAAAATAATGAAATTTTACTCATGTTATTTTCCATAGAATCTTTGGTTGGAGTGCGGACTAACTTAATGATAATATTAAAGCTAGAACTTTCAGAGAATTATTTTTTAATCAATTTGGAAGCATTTGAGCCCCTG